GATGGGGGTCTTTTCTGTTTGGCATCTTTGTCATAATGTTTGTAAGGCTTGTCTGTGTTGTTTCAAGGCCAGCAGTCTGTCCCTCTTTTGTTTTTAATGGCATGAATATGTTCAGAATACGCAAAACTTCTCTAGTGTAAAAGAGGTCCAAAAAGTGGCTGCCTCTGTATGGATTGAGCACTGGTTTGGAGGGGCCACAAAGGAACTAAGTTTTTGGAGACAGGTATCTTAACTTCAGTAAAGTGTGAATGATTTATACATTAAGGTTTCTGCATTTTACAACACATAAATTAAACCTCAATAAGTTTTTTTTTTTTGATTGCTGACGTACCACTTTTACCTAACAGAATCTCCAAAACGTTAAGATTGCTCGGGCAGCACAAGTGGCACATACATGACAGAGGCAGTAGTGGCAGTGCCTGGATCACACAGGTAGCACAGAGGTGGTGGCAGCTCTCTGAGTCAGTAAAGTGAAATGGAAATCACGATGATAGTGACAGAGGAGGTTCCTGTTTTCACTATAAAAAAATAATATACAACACTTAACCAGAAGTCCACTACACTGAGAACCCCATAGCTAGGTCTGGGACTTGAGAAACCCCTGGACATGGGAGATCAGTGCAGACTTGAACAGCTAAATACACATTCTTTTCATGTGCACATGGAACATTATAGAGGACAGAATATATGCTGAGTCTCAAGACAGGTGTCAATAAATTCACGAAGCCTGAAATTATATAAAGTATCTTCTCTAACCACAATGGTATCAACCTAGAAAGCAATAATAAAAAGAAAGCAGGAAAGACCTTTAATATGTGGAGACTGAACAATTTCCTATTAAATGGTTATTGAGTTAAGGAAATCAAAGTTGAAATTAAAAAATGCCTGGAGACAAGGATCGATCACATACTGGGGCACAAGACAAACATCAACAGATACACCAAGATTGAAATCATATCAACCATCTTTTCTGACCATGAAGGCATCAAACTAGAAATAAACCATAAAAAGAAGGCAAGGAACTTTCCTACCTCATGGAGATTAAAAACCACACTACTGGAAGACCATTGGACTAATGAGGAGATCAAAGAAGAAATTAAAAAATTTTTTGAATTGAACGACAAGGAGGACACCAATATCCTAAATGTATGGGATGCAGCAAAAGCAGTAATAAGAGGAAAATATATAGCAATAGAAGCTCACATCAAGAAACAAGAAAGAACTCAAAGAAACAACCTAATCTCGAAGCTCAAAGATCTAGAAAAAGAACAACAAGAAAACCCCAAAACCAGTAGAAGAAAAGAAATAAAACCAAAGCAGAAATAAATGAAATTGAAACTAAAAAAACAATCCAAAAGATCAATGAAACCAAGAGCTGGTTCTTTGAAAAAATCAATAAAATAGACAAACCCCTAACCAGGCTCACAAAGGAAAAAAGGGAGAAAGCACAAATAAACAGGATCATCAATGAAAGAGGAGAAATCACAACGGACACAGCAGAAATCAAAAGAATAATCAGTAACTACTATGAACAGTTATATGGAAACAAGTTTAACAATCTAGAGGAGATGGACAAATTCCTACAACTCTACAATCACCCAAAGCTAGATAAAGAAGAAATAGAACACCTAAACAGACCAATTACAAGCAGCGAAATTGAAATGGTAATCAAAAACCTCCCCAAAAACAAAAGCCCAGGACCTGATGGATTTACAAATGAATTCTACCAAACATTCAGAGACGAATTAGTGCCTATCCTTCACAAACTCTTCCAAAAAATTGAGAAGGAAGGGACAATACCAAACACGTTCTATGAAGCCAACATTACACTAATACCAAAACCGAACAAGGACAACACAAAAAAGGAAAACTACAGGCCAATCTCCCTAATGAACACTGATGCAAAAATCCTCAATAAAATTTTAGCTATCAGAATCCAACAATGTATCCATAAGATAATTCACCACGACCAAGTTGGATTCATTCCAGGGGCACAAGGATGGTTTAACATCCGAAAATCAATCAACGTTATCCAACACATCAACAAAAAGAAATATAAAAACCATATGATAATATCAATAGATGCTGAGAAAGCTTTCGACAAAGTGCAACACCCATTCATGATAAAAGCCCTTGAAGTTCTTGGGATACAAGGAACATACCTCAACATCATAAAGGCCATCTATGACAAGCCAACAGCCAGTATCATTCTCAATGGTGAAAAGCTGAAAGCAATTCCATTAAGATCTGGAACAAGACAAGGATGTCCACTCTCACCATTGCTTTTCAATATAATACTGGAAGTCCTAGCCAGGGCAATAAGACAAGAGAAAGACATCCAAGGAATCCAAATAGGAAAAGAAGAAGTCAAACTATCACTATTTGCAGACGATATGATATTATACATAGAGAATCCCAAAAACTCCACAGAAAAGCTAATTCAACTCATCAATCAGTTCAGTAAAGTGGCAGGATACAAAATCAACACGCAAAAGTCAGTAGCCTTCCTATACACAAACAATAAATCTGAAGAAGAAGAAATCAAAAAGACCATCCCTTTTGTTATTGAAACAAAAAAAATCAAATATTTGGGAATAAATCTAACAAAAGAGGTAAAGGACCTATACAAAGAAAACTATAAAACACTGTTAAAAGAAATAGAAGAAGACACAAAGAAATGGAGAGACATCCCCTGCTCATGGATTGGAAGAATAAACATTATTAAAATGGCCATCCTTCCAAAAGCAATATACAGATTCAATGCTATTCCAATCAAAATTTCAATGTCATTCTTCAAAGAAATAGAAAAATTATTGATGAAATTCATATGGAATCACAAAAACCCCGAATAGCCAAAGCTCTCCTGAAAAAAAAAGAAGGGAATGGAGGCATCACACTCCCAGACTTCAAACTATACTACAAAGCCATAATCATCAAAACTGCATGGTATTGGAACAAGAACAGACATACAGACCAATGGAATCGAATAGAAAATCCAGAAATAAACCCACAGATTTATGGTCAACTAATCTTTGACAAAGGAGCAAAGACTATGCATTGGAGCAAAGAAAGTTTGTTCAATAAATGGTGCTGGGAAAACTGGGTCGCTACATGCAAAAGAATGAAGCTTGACCACCACCTCACACCATACACAAAAATCAACTCAAAATGGATTAAAGAACTAGACATAAGACCTGAAACCATAAAATATATAGAAGGAAATATAGGCGAAACACTACGTGATTTGCACATCAAAGACATCTTTACAGACACATCACCCAAAGCAGTGATAGTGAAGGCAAAGATAAACAGCTGGGACTATATCAAATTAAAGAGCTTTTGCACAGCAAAAGAGACAATAACAAAAACAAAGAGAAACCCCACCAACTGGGAGAACATTTTTGCACCCAACACTAATGATAAAGGACTGATCACAAAAATCTGCAAAGAGCTGATGAGACTCAACAACAACAAAGAAAATAATCCAGTCAAAAAATGGGCAGAAGAGCTTAAAAGAAACTTCTCTGAAGAGGAAATGCAAATGGCCAACAGGCATATGAAAAAATGTTCAACATCACTTGTCATCAGGGAAATGCAAATCAAAACTACCATGAGATACCATCTTACACCAGTGAGAATGGCACATATTAAAAAAACTAGCAACAACAAATGTTGGCGAGGGTGTGGAGAAAAAGAACTCTTCTGCACTGTTGGTGGGAGTGCAAACTGGTCCAACCACTGTGGAAAGCTGTGTGGAGATTTCTGGACCTACTAAACATAGAGCTTCCATATGACCCAGCAATTCCACTCCTAGGTATTTACCCAAAGGACACAGAAACATCAATTCCAAAGAACACCTGCACCCCTATGTTTATAGCAGCACTGTTTACAATAGCTAAGCTTTGGAAACAACCCAAATGCCCAAAAATAGATGACTGGATCAAGAAGATGTGGTACATATATACCATGGAATATTACTCAGCATTCAAAAAAGATAAACACATGCAATTT